TTGCAGGAAGTGAGCCTTGCAAGCTGAAGCAGGGAACTACTAAAGCAGGTGCACCCTGGTGTGACCATCAAAAGCAAGAGACCCAAGAACTAGAAAGGTGAGGCTCACCGAGCCATTTACCCCTCTGCCCTTCAATTAATCCCACATCTGTTAACGGCCAGGTTGGCACAATAAGCTAACTCACTGAGCAAACAATCCAAGATGCACTACTCTACGAGGAAGGAAGCAGCAATTTGTAGGAATTCCTCCTACAAATTGTAGGAATCTCATTAATAGGCCATGATACTCAAAGGACACAACCTTTCTGGCTGAAAGTGAAGAGAAAACACGTTCTGCTGAAGATCAAAGACTACAAATTTCAATACAGGTAATACCTCAACATAAAGGAAACAACATGCCGCACACATGTACCAAGAAGGTACTTCATAGTAACAGAGACAAGGCTGATGTTATCAAGGACTCCATTTCACTGGGTCCTCAGTCAACGCCCATGGGCGCAGCAGTGAAGAAATCAAACACTGTATTGCAGTAGGCAACAGGCTGCTCGAGACCTCTTTGAAGAGCAGTGTTGACACTTGAAGGACTGAAGTGCGCCTGACCCAAGAATAGGGGTACTTTCCTTCCCTTCACGCGCATGTAGAAATGGGACAATGAATAAGGAAGAGCGAAGAAGACTTGGTGCATTTGAATCCCAGAGCTGGTGGAGAACGCGGAGTGGACCCTGGGCTGTCAGAAGAGCTCACAAATCTGTCTGAGAAGAATTGCGTGTGGAGTGCTCCCGGGGAAACATGATGGCAAGGCTTCAGCTCGTGGACTTTGGAAATGTTATCAGAAGGGTCCCTTCATGCTTGGTAAAGCAGAGGGTTAGTGAAAAGTGGAAGCCCCTTAGTGGGACGATTCACACATTATCTGCAACAAAGGTTCAAACATGATCGTGAGGATGACACTGGGTTGGGCAGTGTTTTGTCCTGTTGTTCACAGGTTCTCCATGAGTCAGAACCCACTTGACAGCCCCTAGGAGTGGCAACAATGACACAGACGTTGAGTCATGATATTTTCCTTAATACAGATCTCTAACCAAAGGATAAATTGCATGCCTTATACTGCTCAGAAGGTTAGCGATGGTCACCAAATGCAAATCTTACCTTGTGGTCGAAGGGACCAGGTATCAAGCACCAAAGAACAAAAAATCATATCATCGTGAATGAGGGGGAGTGTGGGGTGGGGACCCAATGCCCATCTGTAGGCAACTGGACATCTCATTGCAGAGGGGTAGCCGGGAGGAGATGAGTCACTCAGGGTGCAGTGTAGCATCGATGAAACACACAACTTTCCTCTAGTTCTTAAATGCTTCCTGCGCCCCCCCACCCCCACCCCCGACCAACTATCATGATCCCAATTCTACCTTACAAACCTGGTTAGACCAGAGGATGTACAGTGGTGCAGACAGGAACTGGAAACACAGGGAATCCAGGAAAGATGATCCCTTCAGGACCAGTGGTGAGAGTCGCGATACCAGGAGGGTGGAGGGGAGGTGGGGGTAGAAAGGGGGAACCAATTACAGGGATCTACACATAACCTCCTCCCTGGGGGATGGACAACAGTAAAGTGGGTGAAGGGAGACATCAGGCAGTATAAGATATGATAAAATAATAATTCATAAATTATCAAGGGTTCATGAGGGAGGGGGGAGCAGGGAGGGAGGGGAAAAATGAGGAGCTAATTCCAAGAGCCCACATGGAAAGCAAATGTTTTGAGAATGATGAGGGCAACCAATGTACAAATGTGCTTGATGCAATGGATATATCTATATATCTATATTACAATAAGAGTTGTATGAGCCCCCAATAAAATGATTTAAATGTTTAAAAATGTGCTGGAAAAAAACCTTACCTTGCATGGTCCTATTTGAAAACCTTGGGGTCTTCCATTGCCCTCTGATCATAAATCCAGACATTTCCGATTTCCCTTGTCACCGGATCAAAACTCCCATCT